TCAAGAGCCGGAGACCCCCCCACCCTGTCATTCCACTCGCCGTGTGTCAACAACGGCCCCCACCACTACAAACACGGGCCACTCAGGATAACCGCGCGCCTCTCCGCCTCTCTCTTCTCTGACATTTCTTTCGCTTCTCTATGAATTGAACGTTACATTATGCTCCGCACCTGTTACAGTTTCAAGTCTTTTCAGGGGCTTTAAAGACTCGTAATGCTCGCACAATCCATTATTCCGGCAGTACTGTTCTCAGTATTTATATGTACCAAAATGTCAATATTGTCTTCATCTTGACATGTTAAATTATTTATTTTGACTATTTTCTACTGAATTCCCTCTACGTGCCATTGAATGTTCGTCTTCATTCTTGTCTCAAACAGAATCGAAGTCGTGTTTATCCAATCCTTAAAACAAACATTATGTTCTGTTGGGAGATAACAGCTCCTAATGTTTGGACGGGTTCCCAAAGAGCACTTTTGTTTTATTTGTTTGCTTGTTTGTTGGTTTATTTGTTTATTTGTTTGTTCGAGCTAAAAGGAAGCTTATTGACACAATGGCTGTCATTTGATGTAGTGAAAAAGCGAGAAAGATCGAAAGAAACAAAAGATGGAAAGAAAAAAGGGAGGGCTTATCAATGGTGCCCTCCAACAACCCTCCTCAAAGAGCCAAGATAATACTTTATTGTCTCGTATGACATTTATAAGCCGGAAACATTTCGAAAAGAAGCTTCTTATAAATTGTAAAGACATTGACGGCGCAGCGCTTCTTGGCAATCTCACTATGTCAAATCTTTCCTTTATCCCCCACCCCACCCCGTGTCCTTTATCTGGGTTATCAGGGTGACTATATTTCAATACAGTTGCCCAGTGCCACAATCTGAGATCAGGCATAATATCACTATCATATATTTTGTTTAATAAGCTGTGTGTTTGCTCTGTAAAAAGGTAGCAGCCATTTATACGAGACACGGCGTCTCCTATATCTCGGCACTCTGACAGTCTGTAAACACTCGGGCTCAATTCGATTATCGAGCGACAAAGAGTAATGTTTTTAAAGTAGGTTTTTCCTTTCTTTGGGGAGTTGCAACCGTAGCTAGATAACCGTCGTGTGTCATGTTATAGCCAGACCGGTCAGACTCTTTGCCGTTGTTAGCAGAAGGCGTGTGTTCAATTCCCTGGTCGTCGGGAAGTGATTCTATCGCATATCTCCAACTTTTACAGTCTGCCGGGATGTTGTATCCCACTCAGCTCATGTTGACCCTTTCTTTCAGGGTCGAAGCAAGCCGTACCCCGGGTGTACATCAGAGAGGGTGGGGTACATCCAGCCATGTTGTCCTCATCTTGACAGGGACGAGGGTTCAGTTGTAAATTATTAATGCCCCACTCGAAACAATTCTTCAGATGAGGGAATAATGTACTTGGAAAAGCCTACGTGGGTCACTCGCTTATAAAATAATATGAGGAAGAGACAAAATGCTGATTCTGGGACACATGATGAATAGACACAAGGATCTTGAACATCTAGCTCTCAATGGAAATCATTGAAAGCAAAACAGGGTAGGGTAGCCAGAGTAACTTGAAATTACTCAGAGAGCCTTAACAGATGGGTGATGGGGAGAGAGCTGGGCAACAAAATAATAATATAGTTTTTATAAGAGCATTCGAGGAAAGGAATGAATGGCTACCATAATCGCCGATGTCCTTCGCAGATCTGGCACTTGATGATGATGATTGAAACAATGTAGACCATTTAGGAGGAAGGTAAACCGTAAGTGATACATCTCAGTACAAAGACACAGAGACAGACACTTGAGTACGTGCTATTTCTGAACCTCCCGGTATTGTTCCCGTTAATAGTTCTTGTTTTTCGGAAGCAACCAGCGACGGTTATCTTGTCGGTGTGTTTGCCTTTACCGTCCCTCTGTTGTTTCTCTCTGTCTATCTTGCTTTTCCAAAGTACTGCGGTTCCGTTATCGAATCTGTCTGTGATCTTTTCTTTACCGTCAATCTATTGTTTTTCTTTGTCTTTCTGTCTGTTCTGAAGCACTGCACAAAGTAATCATGCGTGCCTGTGATCTCCTCTTAACCACCCCTCTATTG